CATACATGCAAACATATATATGTGCATACATGCGTAAGTGGTAAATGTTTTCCGCGAAATATAATGCAATGCAATGAATTTTGCTTTCTAATAACGGACTTCAGTCGCCCGGACTGGACTCTCCCTTCTTCATGCAAGTTGGTCGAAGCATAAATTATGGCGTAAAAAGAATCTTGTATTGTTACAATTTTACATGAATTAATACAGTGACTTAGAATTACTAGATTACGCGAAATGTACTAAGGATGTACATGAGTATTGAAATAAAATTTATGACTGAGATTAATGCTCAATTGATATTAACTAAATTAACTGAAAATCCGTTACAAAATCTGTTTTCTGTTCCTGAAGTTATTTTCATGTATTGCTATCAATTTTGTTTCATTTCATTTTATTGTTTTTTAATTAATTTAACTTTTTTTATTTTTTTATTTTACTTTTGGTTTTATTATATTATTTTATTATATTTTATTATAATTTAATTTACATTATTTTGTTTTAATATTTTTTATTACATATTAATTTATTTTATTCCATTTTATTTGAATTAAATTTAAATTTGTTTTACTTTGTTTTGGTTTATTTTGTATTATTTTATTTTGTTTGATTTCAGCTCAGTACATTTTTTTTATTATTTTTTATTCCATTTTAGTTTCCTTTTTTATATATTATAACAAATTTTGTTTTTATTTCATTATATGTTTTCATAGATTATTATTTTATTTACTTTCTTTTTTTATTTTTTATTTCATTTAATGAAATTTTTATTTTATCTTAATATTAAGTTTTATTTTAATTTAACTTATTCTAATTAATTTAATTTTATTTTATTTCAACTATTTAAAAATCTCTATTTGGGTTTATTTTATTTAATTGAATTTAATTTTTTTATAATAGGTAATTTTGAGTTAATTAAATCTTACTTCCATTATTTTGTTTAATTTTTAAATTTCAGCTTTTTAATGTTATTTTAATTAATTTAAAAAAGTTTTAATTTATTTTGTTTTATTTATTTTTATATTGTATTATTTTATTTTCCTTTTTTATTTTATTTTATTTTGTTATATATAAATTTATTAATTTTTATATCAATATGCCTTATTTTAATTAAAATTAATTTACACTATTTTTTATTATCTTTTAATTGCCTTTATCATATTTTATTTTGTTATATAGCACTTTATTATAATTTAATTTACCTTTTTTTTTTGTTTTAGATTTTTAATTATTTTATTACATTTTATATGAATTTTATTTAAATTTGTTTTACTTTGTTTTGAGTAATTTTGTATTATTTTATTTTGTTTGATTTGATTTGATTTAATTTTTTTGTTATTTTTTATTCCATGAAAAAGGACACTAATTTTTTATATATTATATAATATTTATTTATATTTCATTTTATTTTTACTTATTTATTGTTTTTTTACTTTATTCATTTTTTTATTTTGTTTAACAACGTTTTATCAATTCTTAATTTATTTTATCTTTTTTTCGTATATTAAGTTTTATTTTAATTTTACTCATTTTATTATTTTTTTAAAATATTAAATTTAATTTTATTTTAATGAAATTATGAAGCAATCTTTTATTTCGATTCATTTTATTTTATTTTATTTAATTTTATGTAAAAAAGCTATTTTTGATTAGGTGCTAGCAACTTTAGAATATTATAAATTCAACATTCGTTTTGCCTTTCTGGACTTCAAATAACGAATAAACGTTTTTATGTAAAAAAATTGAATTTTTTTGTGTGTTTGAAATCACGAGATTCTTTAATCGAATGCTATAATTTTTTTGCATTTCAGGTACACACAAAAATTTAATACCCAGCAGGGAATAGAGTGTAGAGTTTTTTAAATTTTTGTGCAATAATACTTAAATTGGAAAAATTTAACTAAATAAAAAAGTTTGTTTTTTATCTCTTGAAATAAAAAATAATTTTATGAAATACTTAAAATTCTTGATACAGATTTGAGGTAATTTTTTGTTTTTAATTAAATATCTTTAGAATATTTTGTAAATTAGCCATTTGATCTAATTCTCTGTCAATTTTAATTTCTTAAAGCATACTTCCTAGATGTAAAAATTTGAAATGTTAAAAAAAACTTTAAATTTTTATTTAGTTGACCAAAAATTATTCAATCAAATTTTCGTTAAAATCAGCAAGTTTTTTTCATTTGCATTGCATTGGTTTTAATTTTTCTTACTGTGTAATTAATTATAAAAAAAAATATGCACAGTTCAGCCCAAAGAACTTTTTAATTGAAATTCATTAAATTATACGTTAAAGGATTTAAAATTTTATAAAGTACCAAAATTCTTTAAATTAAAGTGAATTTAAATAAACTTTTCCTAAGTAAAGTTCTTCCAATTCTTAGCTTATTTAACTAGAAATGTAAGCTTTGGCGCTAAATATATATGAGGTCAAGTAAAAAGTAATCCATGATTTTACTCGATAATTTACTGCCATTTTAAAGGTAATGTCATAATGACTCTCACATAGAGATCCTTGTCCTCATTTACAAAAAATTCGAACAACTGAATTTAAAGAGCTACTCTTGAGGCTAATTCTTCATCAGCCAGAATCATTTGTCATAGACCGGAACTCTGACGTGGATGCATAAGAACCTCTCAACGAAGCTGTTGGAGATTTTGGCGAGTCAGTATCAATGTGTCTGTGTGGTCTGACGTTGTTCAGATAAAACACAATTTCCCTCCTGTTGGCTAAAGTTGGGCAACTGCTTCCTACAGACGGTCAAATTGCAGACAGTACAGGTCCGTGTCAGGAGCTTGGCTGCAGGAAAACAGTTTGTAGTGGATGATTCTTTGCTAATCTTACCAAACACATTACAAAGCCTTCCTGGTCATTAAACCTGGCTTGGAGATCGCTCTTCGCCCACGACGTGGCTGCAAGTATCCCCTTATCATCACCAGTCACTAATTGCTTTGGAAGTAGCGGGGTTTTGATACCATTCAACAGCGATTTGCAGTTGGAAATTCGGTCCAATCTGGTGACAGCCATACATTGAGCGTCTTTGTGTATCCAGCCTTTCTCAAGTGGTTCCAAATTTTTTTTGTGCAATGTTAAATTCCTCGGCAATCAACCGTCAGACTCCAGATAATTTCTATTACCTTATCGACGTTTTCGACCACTGGTCTTCCATAGCGTGGATTTTATTGTACATTAAAATATTTGGGGAAAAATCGATGAAACTGCAATTGTTCATGATTAACTGTTAGAGTCTCAAGACATCACATTTTCAGCTGTCTACCTTGAGTTTTCGCCTTCATCGGAGACAAATTGTAGAATATAGCGTTTCTTTGCTGGTGACTTTACCATGCGCTCAAACATTACTGAGATAAGTAAAAAACACTTTTCCCATTATCGTTTTTAGTTTAAATTATAATCTTTGTAACTTCATCTAGCGTAATCCAATATCCCGACACGAGATACAAATCACTAAAGCTTTACATTACAAAAATAATGGATTACTTTTTGCTAGACCTGTATATGGCAATATATGTATATATGTTTGGTGAATTTAAACTGCTGAGAAGAATTATGGGCGAGATCTAAATTAATTTTTTGGTGTCTGTCTCAATGTTTTCTAATAAATGGAAGAACCTACAGCTAATACTAAGCCTCCCACGAACGGCTGATGGTTTTTAGGAGGAGCTTTTTTATTTCCTGCTAAACAATCCCAGTCGAGGGGCGACGTTAATAGAAAAATCAATAAATTTTTGTCATCTAAAATAATCTTTTTACTTTTTAGGATGTTGAACGCATAGTCTTCTACCTGGGAGTAAGCACTGCTAACTACGCGATTTAATTGTTAAGAATAAAACCTTATTTTATATTTTTTTGTTGTTGCTTGTTAGTGCTGAGATCCAGCTGTGATCCATTTGGAGTACGTAAGGTACTTCGAAAAGACGTGCTATCAAATTTAGTTGACCCTCCATTAGAAGATAATTTTGTTGACGACCAGTAATAAGTTCGAGATAAGAATGATATGCTTTAAGCATGTAAATGTAATAAGCAGAATTATTAAAAGAGATTAAATAATAAAAATAGTTTATAAAAAATTGTGAAATTTGAACGTAACGACATTAGGAATTAGCTAAAACTCATTTTTTATCAATATTTTTGACGTATCTTCAAAAAATATTTGAAAATCTCTGCAATAAATAGGAAGCCAACTGTGCATGGAGAACGTAGTTTTTAATAAAAAATAATAAGTAATACTAATTATTTATAAATATTTAATTATTTATATATATATACACGTATTTATATTTATAAATATATTTAATTTCTATTATCAATTATTGCCTTCGAACGCATGTTATAATGACTTTAAACATATGTATGTATGCGCGTGCGTTTCTGTGTCAGTGCAGAGTACACGAAAACATATTAGGTCAAGTAAAAATTTCGTTCGGTTTTATCTAAGAGACGGCGTTATTGTCCATAGTACTAGTGTTACGTGTCGCAGCATGTCATACCATACGGCGAGATATGCATATTGAAGTTGGCATATCATTGGCAACAAGTTTACGAACAAAACGGCAACCGAATGAACTTTTTACTTGACCTAATATAAATTTGTGCTTAGAATTATTTACTTATGCATGTCGAGCTAATATTTGCCATCCAGACAGATGATAAGGCATAGGCCCACCAGCACTAGGGGTTATCAGGCACTAGCATAAGACGTGTTTTTATTTCTGTTTTTGTGTTTCAAATCACATGTGTCATGAACACATGCAAACATACATACATACATACGACTATTTCAATATGTGTTTGAACTTAATTGGCAGACTAATTGAAATGTAGCAACAAGTAAGTAAGTTTAATCAAATTTAAATAAATAAATAGACAACATTAGTATATTTATGAAATATTTAAATATTTCATGCAATACGCGAAAAGCTCTATTTGCACTTAGTTATCGCCAAACTTGTTATGAAAGAAAAATATTTCTGAATTCTCTTACCTTCGTTGAACTCGAATAGTATGGCGACGACATTTTCTCGCTTTCCATATTTTATACTCGTTGATAAATGCTTTGTTTGTGCAGAATTTGGTTTAAATTTTTTTTGCCACTGAAGTTGCTTGTGGCAGCTTGAGAATTTATACTTGCGAGACCGAAGATGTGCCTGGTCCTACTTTTTGCACTATTAACTTTGGTGTCGAACTTTGATCTTTGACCACTGGAAGAGCAGTAGAAGTGCACTTTTAGTTGGCGGCAGAATCACAGACGTGAGCGCGACGGTTGGTTTGATGAGCAGAAGCGACGGTGAGTATTTCATCAGGCGAGCGAGTTTCGAGTGAAAATTTTCCTCCTTTTCTAATTCTTTCAATACTTTAAGTAGCGTTATAGCGTAATACACGTGTTGTTGTTATTTTTACTGACAGGAATCTACATTTGGCTGCTAATGTGACTAGGCGCATGCGTCGTACGTTGCTTTAGCTTGCACTTTCAGCTAACTCACCGGTGATTGCAGTGTGCGTGCGAAGTGTTTTTGTTGGCTTACGCTTTCAATTCGTTTGCATCGTTGCACTTCGAGCAGACCAAGCAAAGTTTTGCTCATTTGCTAGTATACAATAAGTGCGCGAGCTTAGATCGTGCTGCTGCTTACATTCCTTGCTGATAGTGATAATAATTTTTCGTTAGCTCGGAATGAGCTGCTGAAATCTCTTAGCTTGACTTCTATTTTTGATATATATATAGAAGAAATATTATATATACATATATGAGTACGTATGTGTGAGTGCGTGTTTATTCGTTGCCTTGTTATCGCTATTTGAGAGCTTGATATTTCAATTGCCTTTTGCTTTTGTTTTTATTCCTTTGCCTTTTGCTGAATTGAATTTTTTTCGCATTCTTTTTTTTTTTTAAATATTTTCTTTTGCTACTTTTATTTCATTTTTCAATTATCACTTGCGCAACTCGCTCTACTTAAACGTTGTATTGTTGCTAATGTCATTGTTGTTATTGTTGTTGCTGTTGCTGCTGCTTTTGTTGTTGTCGTGCTAGCTTATTTGGGCGCATTACGATTTACGCTCGTAATAATGGCACTCATCAAAACACATACACCCATACATACGCATACACAACACACGCACACTGGCGTTAACACCTTGAGAGCCGATTGATTTAAATTTTTGTGCCTCTGCTTCAGCTGTAGTTTATTTTTAATTAATCCAAATGTTTTTCTTTTTATTTTTGAATTTTTAAATATTAAATTTTTTTAAGTTTTCAATTTTTTATTTAATGTTATTTTAATTTTTCAAATTTCATATACAATTTATTTTCAATATTTTCGTATTTTTGATTTTAATTTTGTCCACATTATTCACTGATAGTTTTTTTTTTCCAAAACACAAACTCAAATTGATAAAAAATTTGGTTGGATTTGCTCGCACAGTTTCTTGCCTATTTGATTGTTTTAAAAAAAATCCAGTTTTAAATTTAACAACATTGGCAATAAATATTTTTTATTTCCACCTTCTCTGCTCTTTCGTCGTGTCTTAATTTATCGCCAAAAAATGCAAATGTATATTTTTTTCGAATTTGGTTTTTGTTTTTTTTTTCTTTAATTTTTTAGCTGTGTAGTATAAATATTTTTATTTATTTTTTATTTTTTTCTTTTTATTTTCTTTTCTAATTTTTGTTTTTGTATTAAATAAATATTTTAATTAATTTCGTATCGATACCGCGCAACCCAACCGTTCGCTTCGCCTATTCGCTCAAATGTGTTCGCTGAGATTTGTAAGATCGCATGTCTTACCTCATTCCCAATTGAAAGTGGTAGGAAGCTTTTATTGCCCAAACTGGTTTTGGCTACAATATCAATGGTAAAGAGTGTTTTGAGCGTGGTTTGTAAATACAATCGTCGTTGGTTCGATGCGCGTGCTACCAACACCATTCATGCTAAAAATGTATGTGTTTGTATTGTTGTTAATTAAATATTTTTAGTAGAATGCTCAGCCAACACGGGCTTTGCGGTGACCGGAGTGTGATGTTGGCTGTTGATCGTCGGATTGCTCCATTCACTAGTTTGGTTTTTGTAAAGGAGCTTTTTTCTAAGCTGTGTCTTCTTATTCAGCTTCAAGCACAAAAGCTCTGTATATAAAAGCTTTGAGTTTAGCTTTTACCAAGCTTCGATATTAGATAACTTTAGGAAAGCTTTTGAAAATTTTAATGGCTTAGAATCGTGCACTATGAAAAATTATTTACAACAATAAAAAATATTTATTTATATTTATACATATTTTGATAAAGAATTAATTTTGTTTCTAAATCATCATTGCACAGCTTGTTGGTGTTAGATAAGTTTTTTTTTGTTAAGTATGGCTTCAGGATAATATTTTTTTTACAAAAACAGGCAATATTAATTTAAAAACCTTTAAAATTTTTTTTTAATTTTGCATGAAATTTTTTTTAAATTTATTAAATGTTTTTTCATTAATAGTTGTTTTTGCGGGCATACTCTTAATTTTTTTAGAAGTTTTTAGTGAGTTGAAGTCTTTGGTTATTTATATGAATTGAATATTTTTGCTATAAAACAAAGTAAATGATAGAAGGGACAGCTGTTTCGGAGATCAACGCGCCTCCTCATTAGACTTCTTAGGGCAGGGATCGAACCAACGGATCCTGACTTAATAGGTGAGTGCCCTATCTTTGAGCCAAGATCAGCCATGTTATTTATTGTCGTGTTCTTCAATTCATTATGAACCAATAACTGTTATGGGTGCTGATTTATTTCAATTAATCTTCTTTAAATGTTTTAAACGTTTTTAAATTTTTTTTTAAAACAATTTTTCTATTTTTTTGAACAATTTTTCTTTAAATTTTTTGAGAATTTTTTCTTTACATATTTTAAGCAAATTTTTTAATTTTTTTATAGTTATATTACTTTAGTTAGTTACTAAACTTAAAATTATTTATTACCTTTTATACTGTTTGGTTTTGTGTTGAGTTTTTTCTAATATTTTTAAATAATATTAAAAAAAATTAGATCATCGAATTTCTACTTAAAACTATTTTTTGTTCAAATAACCATTAATTTTTAAATAAATATTTTATAACACATTTTGACAAAGTATTAATTTTTATTAAGAAATCAAATGATTTATTTCTACAAAAGTGTATTTTAAACAAATATTAAAAAAATATTGGACAAACTGGTTAATAATTTTTCATAACAAAAGTTTAGATAAAACTTTTGCTCGTCGCTTTTTTAATTTCTGGCTTATATTTGATTTTCAGAAGCTTGGAAGTAAATTGATTGCTCTTTCAAGTTTGGTTCTTTCCACAATTTAAAAAAACGCATTTCATATAACCAAAATTTAAGGTTTCGAACAAAACATTTATTTATTAGTCTACATTGAGGTTGTCGCCTGTAAAATAATCTCTATTAGCTTTTAAGCTCTTGTGATAGAGCTTTTTGCAAACTGCGAAACACTTCTGCCTTAGTTCCTTCAGCAATGGATACTTTTTGAGTTTACTTAACGAAATTTGCGTTAAACTTGCCGATAATATTCCTTCTTATTGATCGTTTGATCTGGCTAGAATTAAGATCGAGAAATTCAGTAAGCATAGCATTCACTTTCGAACGCGCTTGTCGAGCTTTTCCGATCTTGGTGAACGATAATGTCTGCACTGTGATAATTGCAGTTTGGTTTCGACATCTTATCCATAAACCGATGATTCGTCATTTTAATAAAATATGTTATCGGTGCTGATGAGTTGGGATTTTCAGGATGTTTGCCAACGTCCTCAGTGCCTAATTGAAACGCTTATACGACTCGTAAACTATTGAGTTAGTTATAGCAAAGTAACCCTAGGCCTTTTTACGCAAAGTTTGACAAAAAATCTTTGATCCATTTCTATCAACAAACGAAAAATGCCGAGACCATGAAAACACGTATAGCGACACTGAAGTCCACAATGAAAACAGCTGAAAGTGGTATCAAACTTCAGTGGCATGTATACCAATATGAAGAATAAAAAATTATTGTTTGACAGTGGACTCTAGAAGTCTTTGAAATGTAAAAATTCTCCTTAACCTTTGAACACACCTGGTATTTACTAATTCTAAGACATTCAATTTGATTCAATTTTTTTAAATTTTTTTATCGAGTTGATTGAGGCTGCTTCATCGAAAGTGGCCATATTTTGTATACCCTTTTTTTAAACCTTTTATTTACACGATTATAGCCATTCGTTTCTTGTCTTCGCTGGAAATAGCAAGTGAAACCAAGTTGCTCTGTATCAAAATCTTCTAACGGCGTGGAGGTTCTCTGCCTCTTTTGCCACCATTGGGTATCGTATTGCCACAAAGTGACGAAGACATTCGAACGATCCGGTATGATCTACCAGCGTAGCCGCAGCCTTTCCCCATTCCCTGAACTATGCCAATACCATCGTATAACTCATATACCTCATCATTACATCGTCAGCGATATTCGCCGTGGCCAATGCGCTAGAAACCATATATCGTTCGCAAAACTTTTATCTCGAATACTTCTAGAGGACTTAAATTTTTAATTGCCTACTCAGTTCAAAGCAGCACCCGCTGGCAAAAGTTATTCTGCTTTCGATTTCAAAGCCATCGTTATCTTTTCATCGCATCTTTTCATCGAAATTTCCAGCGTTAACTTTGTTGGCCAGCTTGTCATTCGTCTGTTGGGATTGCGGACTTTCGGCGTCGCACTTTCCTTGTATTTGTTGAAGTGTGATGGATACCTTCGCTGCGGTCCTCGGAACGTACGCACATCTGGAGATATATATTCCATCAATTCCGATGTTCCATCCATGGTTCGACCTGTATTTTGAGGGATTTTCTTGTGCTGAAATCTAGTACTGCAGACAACATTCCAATTCCGATGCCTAAAACATTGCCAGGTCGTCCTCTAAAGAGGTATCTCTCATCCGCGACTTTGTTGAGACTATTTTACATCTGATGGGTTTCACAGCCGCGGGAGAATTCTGTATGCTGCGTAATACTAAAATGAAAGTCAAAAAAATTTATATGAAAACAAATTTTGGTTTTTTGTTTTTTCTGCCACATTGTCAATTATAATAAGTAATCGAATTAGGTTTGAAATTTTCCAGTTCAATTTTATGAATTTCTGGGAAAGAATTAAGAAAGTCGTGGCCCTACTAACATCCATTAGAAATGCATTGAATTATTTTAATAAAAAAGAAAAATTAAAATCCGACCATCGAGCAGTGGAATAGCGGCAGTCAGCCCGCCACTTTTATACCCAGCGTCATAGCTCGTATACGACAAACTCTAGGACTTTACTAGACCATAGTAGATCTCTTCAGAAGATGGCAGCAAAACAGACTATACCTCTAGACACATAAATACTGCTCTCCAGCGATTACTTTCACAGATAGTCCACGTTAAGATGAAAAAGAGACTTGACTTGCCACAAATCGAGGCAAATTCGACCGAAATGAGAAAAGCTTGTATTCTCTGAGAAAGGAGAATGAAAGATGTAACCTGGAACATTTCGGTTCGATTTTTAGATGGTCTTTATAGTGTGAATGAAACTAAGTAGTTAAACTAATCAAATTCATGAGAGATAAGTGTATGGAAAGGAAGCCTTAAGGTCAGATAAATCTCTTTTCTTAGAATTGCAATTTTCATCAAAGATAGCTGTTAATCTTGTCATAGCAGAAAATTAATCTTCCTTCCTTTCCATGTTATCTCTCCACTGTCCTCGATAGCACCTTACAGCTGTATAATTTATAGATTTAAATATACAAAAGTGTATATATTTCTGAATGTATTTGTTTCTACTTCAATGGCAGCTGCCAAGCGATCTAACAACACAAGTAAGTAACTCAAAGCTCGAAGGGCGCTGCAATTGAGCTTAACAAACTCGAGAGCTTCACAAATCCTTTCTTAGCTGCCCAGAAAATGTAATCGTATATTTAACATATACAGTGTAGGGCAAAACTAAAACGCCTCCCTAGTGCAATTTTTTCTAGTGCTGTTTTCTCTAAATAAAATAATTGGAAATCAATTAATTTTTTTACATTTTATTTATGTTTATAAATTCACTTTTAATAAAGCAATATACTTTTTGTATATTTTTTTTATTTTGAAAAGTTCAACATACAAGAGTTGACAGTAGCTCAAATTTCGATGAACAAAACTAAAGCACGCCCTTCATTGGTCTAAAAAAGTCTGTAGGCTAATGTTTTGTAGCAAACTTCTTTGCTGACTGAAGCGCATCTTTTATGCATTGAAGACATCAAACTGTCTATAATATTCTGATTGGGCGGTTCGAAAATGGAACACTTTATTTTCGATTGAGTGAAAGTGCAACATAAAAGATTCCGATGATATGAGGCGTGTGAGAGGTGTCCGAAGGACCAGAAACTCAAACTCAATCAACCACCAAATACGACTATGGCAATGTAAGGGGCTCTGGTTGTTTCTCTGGACAAAATGTCGAACCAATTCATCAAATAATAGAAATAATGGATCATTTTATGTATACCGACAGCTTCGAAAATGTGATGCTGCCATATGTTGAAGGGAATATGCCTTTGATATGGAGTCTCCAGCAAGACAACGATCCTAAGCATACCTTGAAGCGTTTTAAAACTTGGTTGAGACGTAAAGGCATTGACATATTAATTTGCCTAGTTCAGTCAATTGATCTCAACCCTATTGAAAACTAATGGGAGGTCGTAAATATGCAAATTAATAAGGAACACTGTAAAATCAAGGGCGAATTGTTTAAGGCCGTAAATTTTGCATGGGAGGGCATATCTCAGGATTTAATCGATGGCTAAATATCTTCAATGCCTAAAAGATACGCTTCAGTAATCGAAAGTTAAGGGCTTGCTACTAAATATTAGCCAAGGGACATTATTTTTTATGTCTATGACGGGGGTGCTCTAGTTTTGTGAATCGAATTTTGGTCTACTGTCAACTCTTTTATGTTAAACTTTCCAAATTAAAAAAAATACAAATAAACAAAAGGTAAATTGCTGAATTAAAAACGAATATATATATATATTAATAAAAATAAAAAAAATATTATTTTCCAATTATTTAATTCAAACCAATCAAGAAAAAAAATTCACTAGGGGGTGCTTTAGTTTTGGCCAATACTGTATATGTTTTTAGATTTGAATTTTTATGTTATTTCTATGCAACGTGATTTTTTTTTTGTTGTTATGGTATGATATTACCATTATTTTGATTTTGCTCTTCTCTTATCGGCTTGTATGTAGGTAGGGGCGCTTGAAAACTAAACATTCCACCTCACAGCGCCATAAACCCCTTTCGGCGATTCTAATAACAGAAGACGTGTCACACTCGATTTATGGAAGAATTTATTGAAACGCATAAAATACGCACACAAATCACACGCTTATATACACAGAGAAATACCCTCGCCGTTGGGTGTACACGGTGGATACAAGTGGATGACATCTTGATATCCATGCTCGGTGTATAGCAACGGTGTCGTGCAATGCAGTTGTTGTTGCTATTACTTTTATGCAACAAAAATGTAGAAGCGTGTGTGTGGGTGTGTAAGCAAGTACATAGTTGTTGCCGTGTTTCACTGTCATACTGATTGAATTGTTGAATGATGCTCACTTATTTATGTGCAATAATAAAAAGCTTCGCATCGCTTGGCGATCCCCATTCTGCCAGTCAACCAACCAGTCAACCAACCATCCAACTACAACCTGCTGAACCACAGCGTGTGAGTGTTATATCCTGCGGCTGTCACTCATTCGAGTACCAACCAACAACACCGCGCAGAGATAGTATGTGTTACGTGGCGGGATACTTCCTTTCAACTTATTCCGCATCCTCTCATTCCCCCTTTGTTGTTTCGTCCACTAGTGCGCGTTGCGTTACAACCCGTAATCAACTGCGTGCAACAACCAACCAACCACACGTTTACATCAAATTGCAAACGTCATTGTGACATTTATGTTTCATTGCACACAATGACATCGATGCAATTTTTTGACAAGTCATAAAGAGGGTGATGGCGCGTAGTAGGGATGCTCTTAATTGATATGACTCCACCGGCAGTCTGTGTAGTCTTCTAAAAACGGCAGTTTTGAAAATTAAAATGTTTAGCTCTCTTAGCCAACTGCCTTCCCTACATTAGGAATGACAACTGATGAAAAAGGTAAGGCATCTGTATCTGACCTTGGGACAGTTTTCTCGACTCTTAAACGTGGTTAATTTTACTTTAACATTTGTTTAGCCTCCGAAGCCAATAGGTCGACTGAATTAAACTTGAGTTCGCACAGAGAAAGTTAGGTTATAAGTCTTGAGGTCCAACTACAACTCATAATTAAATCCTCAGCATTCTCCAACTTATTATAACCTTTCTTCTCGCTGTTAGCTTTACTTCTCAACCTGGGGTTACATTACCATTACTTACTGCTAGTTTCTGTTCTTAAAACATGGTTGTTGGGTCTACTTACAAGGACCTATGTGAACCAGTTTCAGGTATTACGTTACCACTGGTTCCCGCCAGAGCAACGTCATTTGATATTCTTTATTCCAACTTACTACTAATCGAGTTTATGGTGTCTCATTGCGAAAACCAGTTTTGCCTGCGGCGTTAGTGGGGATATAAGAATGTCATTCGATTTTCGTCTTTGGAATCAATCTTTAGTTTTAGTCCTTAGACTTTAAACTCAATCTTTATTTTTATTCTTTATTCTTTAGTCTTTTGTCTTTAGTCTTTAGTCTTTAGTCTTTAGTCTTTAGTCTTTAGTCTTTAGTCTTTAGTCTTTAGTCTTTAGTCTTTAGACTTTAGTCTTTAGTCTTAAGTCTTTAGTCTTAAGTCTTTAGTCTTTAGAGTTTAGTCTTTAGTCTTAAGTCTTTAGTCTTTAGTCTTTAGTCTTTAGTCTTAAGTCTTTAGTCTTTAGTCTTTAGTCTTTAGTCTTTAGTCTATAGTCTTTAGTCTTTAGTCTTTAGTCTTTAGTCTTTAGTCTTTAGTCTTTAGTCTTTAGACTTTAGTCTTAAGTCTTTAGTCTTTAGAGTTTAGTCTTTAGTTTCTAATCTTTGGCTTTTGATATTTAGTGTTTAATCTTTAGATTTCAATAATTAATCTTTTATCTTTAGCTCTTTGCCTTTGTCTTTAGTCCCCAAGAAGAACTTATGAGCTCCATTTGACAGTAGAAAAGACCTCCTTTCATTACTGTGCAATTGTGCCCTGAATTGGTAATTGTGAGGTATATACCCGAATATCTGTAAACCAATTAAAGAAAGGACATCCCTTGTAATAAGAAGCACGGAGTATCATAACTTATTCCGGTTATGGCAAGCGTTGAGTGGTTGCGTATGTTTGCGTACGCCTGCGGGTGGGTGCAAGAAAAGAAAAGAAAGTAGTTATAGCAGCGGGTGAGACGATGATGACAACAGTCGTTGATGTGATACAACATAATGCACTTGAGCAATTTCAAGTTATGCAATTTAAACACCAGCGCACTACACCCCGCCTTCACTCGGACGCCCTCGCTCTACGAACTCTCTCACTACTCTTCTACTTATCAATTTTTTGACATGTACAACATGTCAGTTATATTTATTGTGCAAGCGAAAGCACAATTGCAATATGTCCCACCTACTTATGTCCTCTCACCCTCTTCGCACTTAATTCCACCGTGTGAGATGCAATACAGGCCAATACACTTCTAAGGCGAGAGCATTGACTTGACAGCAAATGAACTATTCGTTGGTGAGATAAAGGCATAATAGAAGAGAAAGAAGCAGAGAGCTGCGTCTGTTGCGCGATTACCAGAAAACGCAATGACAACAAGAGGAGTTGAAAGGAAGGAAAAGAGCTATTCTGCTACGTGAAATGCGCCAAATTAAAAAAATATCGCCAACATAATCTCGGGACGTGTGGGAATTCTTCATTATGGAATATTTTCATTTTTATTTTCAAAACATTTCAATGGAATACAATTGGGGGAACATGCAAATGGTTTTTGTGCACTTTTAATTCTCCAGTTTGTGCGGTGAAAACATGCGTTCCTTCTCTCTCTCCCTTCCTCTCTCTGTGCATGTGGGAAGGGTGTTCAAGCTATTTTCACTTTGACTCTTAGCAACATAAGGCAAAGGTATTTCAGCACAGCACGTAATAGAAGCATCAGCAGCAGGAGCCCAATAACACAAGCGAGGAATACATCCAGCGAGTAGTAGGCGATGAAGCTGTTAGGGAAAAGAGATAGAGAGAGTTTATTTAATATTAATATCAATAAAATTTTGTTGAATTTGAGGTGAATCACCTAAGCTCGCGAGCAGCTGCCTGTAGATGTTGGGCGCCTTTGTTACGCAAGGTGTACTCTGTCCAATAGATTGCTGTCTCTAGTGGTGGCATTGGTTGATCAAGTAAAAGCATTCGCTTGGCTCTGTAAGTGGAAGTTTCTAATATTAGTGGGATGAGGAGGAATGAGAAACAATTATTCTTAAACACTTGTTCGTATTACTAATCAAAACCGAGATTATAATCAATTAATTGAAACCTCTTTTATCAAGTAATAAAATAAAAAAATTATAATTAAAAATCGGGCAACGTAATTTTAAGTTTATTTACAGTTTTTGGATTTACGTAAGGTTAGATTCGGTTAAAATGGCTGACAGTAACGCTTTACATATGTAGATCTATGTGACTGTCATTCTAGTTCCAGGTGAAAGCTTAATATTCGATGCGAAGGATATTAACACTTATTGGGAAGTTTAAGAATGCCTTGAAATATAGAAGGTGTTGCATCGTCAAACTCCTGCCTGGCCCCCACAGTTTTTTGAGTAAAAGCTCTCTTAAAAATCGTGTATGTATAGAAACCATATTCTGATAATTTGGCTTCCAAAATATGCGACCATGGCGAGACTGTCAAGGTCACTTCGAAGCGTTATGCTTATTTAATAACCGACTTTTTTTGGACTGCTTTTGAAGAACACGACCTGGACAACATCTGGTTTCAACAAGATGGTGCCACATGCCGCACAACATGAGCAAATACGGCTTTAGTGCAAGAGAAATTTCCCAGCTGCGTAATCCTTCATTTTGACCATGTCCTTTGGCCATTGAGATCGTGCGACACTGTTTGATCCTTTTTTGTGGGACTTAACGAAAGACCGTATTTGTGCAGAGAAACCTTTAACTCTAGAGTATTCAAAGCCCAATATTCCTTAAATTTTTTCTAAGATACTGCCCAATGTGTGCTAAAAAGGGATCAAAAATTATCTCAAACGAATCAAAGCTTGTGAAAATTTGCAAAGAGGTTATTTGAATGAAAGTGTTTCGCATGCTATATTTATTTTCCGTTATTTACGAAAAAACAACATGCATAACCCTGTTTGTTTTCGCGGATCTCTCTGGCTTAGCTCCACCTGTCGTAGTATCTCATCGACTTTTTGAGTGACTGGCCGAACAGAACGAGATACCCTTTTAACATAAAACTTTTTGGAATGGAATTGAGCAAAGCTCTCTTTGGTCAAATTTTTCCGAGAGCTTTCACCATTTTTATTAAAGCAACAAATTTCTTCTAAAATATCCCTAATACTTTCATCAAAATAATTTTTGCGCACAAACTCAGCTTTTAAAAATATTTGTGATTGATATTTATTTAAAACATACAGCAACAACATAGTTAACTGAGTTTTAGTTTCTTTAAAAGTGGCGGCCCTCACTGTGGTTGCTAAGTCCCTAACAATGAGTACTTTTCCAAAAAAAATTAAATTATTCTAACTTTAAAATACTCACCTAACGGTACGCTTATACTTCACATTGCTTATAACATCCACCACTGCGTGCTGTAACCTTGTGGCGCTCAATCGGGCATCCAGTGTTAATTGCACCGCATAGCCATCGGTCACTGCCTTAGCTGCATTCACATCATGATCACAGAAAACAGGCAGCATTATCAATGGCACTCCATGATATATCGCTTCGTACATGCTCAGTAGGCCACCGTGTGTGATGAATGCCTTCAGCCGCCGATGGCCGAGTATGTCTTGTTGCGGCAACCATGCGCCCAGTCGAACATTAGTAGTAAGGTCTGTGATTTGTGTCAGGTTACCCTCCCACTTCCACAGTACATGATATTGCGGTAACTGTGCGAATGTCTGTACTAAGATTCGGCGTAATGCCTCGGGCATATTTGCTGCGCGCACTGATGAGCCCATAGAGCAGTAGATGACACCCGCTGGCGCTGATAACATGAAGTTCTCCAACTCCTGCGTGGGCATTGTTGGGTTGGGTGGACGACAGTGAATACAGGCAATTTCGGCTACATGCGGGTAGTACGGACGTGGGTAGGTAATACTTGCGTGTCCGTTCTGTAGTATGAATGAGACGTTGCGGGCCAGAGTGTAGGGATGTGGTATATGATGGCCCAAATGGGTCTGCAGTGCAGCATGTACTTGGGCAGTGCAATACTGGAAGCAGAAAAACAAAACAATTGAAGCCAATACAAATCTTCATTCAAATAAGAGGAAAATTTTGAGAAGGAAAAATCAAAAACAAGTTTTTTTTAAGTTTTTGATTAAAAAAAAATCCTAAAAAGCTGAAATTAACCTAGATGGTAAATAATTACGAGGAGGACGGTAGCACAAAATCAGACAGAGAAGAGCTGGACAGTGCTTCGAGCGGCAGTGATGGTGAAGCTTCTTCAGACCGAAAAATAGCGCCAGACTCTCGATGAAGTTAAGCTGATGAAAAACCAGAAAACCCATTCCTCTAATAGGATCTAACCGCCGACGGCAGCCACTAAAGTTACAATGAGAAATTGAAGGTCGTACGTAAGTGCAACCCGTTCCTTTGACCATGTCATTACAGATTACGAGCGTCACGGAAGAAGAATTTGGGGTCAACGTTTATTGCTGGCTTCTGGGAACCTTATCTTGATGCACAGGTCTGTGTTTCGGATCTTCATTAGATTCTACTCGACTTGAAGTGGTGGTAGTTAGACTAGCAAAAAAACTCTGTCGAAGATATTCCAACCATCCGAATATATACAAGCAACCCAAAAACTGTACGTCTTCAAGCTCCTGGAGACACATTTTTTTTAACAAGGGTATGGTTGCCGCAATCTGTTGGAGATATTTTGTGGAAAACCAGCCAAAATTATCGATCTTCAGACACCTGATACCCTCATACAAATATATATCATAAATCAATGGTTCGACCGGATGCTTCTTTGGAGTTGTACTCCAATTATCAGGACGTTTACAGAATTATTTGTGAAATATTGGCCTCCTCTGCGAAGGAAAATGTATCTCCATTCATCTCTGCGTAGTCGATTTGAGTATTAGTTCGATCCGAAATGAGTATGTATGAATCTGAGTCTCCTCTGCTGGTTAAATGTGCATATTTTCGAACAGTAATAACCGTGAAAAATGTACTTCAGTAAATATTGAAGTTACGTACCTTGTGCAACAACTCAGCCAAGAGATGTGTAAAAAAATTCTGAAAACGCTCAAAGAAATTCATAGTTTGCGTCAGAGCCGTGAATACATTAGGAGTTACAGCATACATATTCGGATTACCCACTTGAGCCAAGCTACCAGTATAGAAACCAACTGTATTGATATACATAAATGGCACTCCGAGACGATAAACCAAGCCGAGAGCACATTCAGGAAACGCACCATCCAATATGGCCAATTCAAAGCTTTCAGCCAACAGCGAGTCAATTGTTTTTGTGTCACTGAAAAAAGCATTGCACACCTGCAGGTTAAAATACGAAATTAGATTTATATGCTACTTTGCATAAAGAAAAAACAATTCACCTCTGCCGCGTAGCGCAAAGCGCGCCACACAGGTATAGGTGATTTGCCGGCGAAGCGTGCGCCAACCAAATCTACATTCATATAGTTTCTTATGTAGTTGACGAGTGGTTTTGGTGCTACTTCTTTGATGGTCAATCGTGTCCCATCAGCTTCAAATCCACTAACGAAGGTGACTTGATGACCTCTGTGGGAAGAAATGCGGAAGGGTTAATATTCTTCGACTCTCGACGGTTCAACAAACCCTTTACCTCCGTATAAGCCCGTCCGCCAGCGCTGAAAATGGTATTTTATGTGATTTGGTGCCGGCCATTGTAATCATTATGATGTTCGCTGCTTGGGTCTGATTAAAATAAAATGAGGAAATTAAGACATAAGAGAGTATAGTCGCTGTACTCATTTTCACTGTTTAATTTAGTATTTTTTCTTCAGAGAACTGTGCGCTGCTGCAATAAAAATGGACTACTAAGCTCAAACGATAAGAAAGTTGCTTTTATAGCCCCTTTGCTTTCAACGGTTTGGAACCTTTTCAAATCAAATGTTCGTCCCCACACGCAACAATTTAAAAAATAACTCATACGCACTGTCGCACGACACATGCCATCTATATTTAAACGCAACGTACAAGTAACCTGTTATTTTCGTACATAGCAATTACATAAATTCATAAAAATAAACATATTTCGGCTTGTTTATTTCCGGAAGTTGCGTAAGATGTGTGCCGTTACCACAGTTACTTTGAAAAAAATAACTGATTTCTCAATAAACTAAGGGAACAACCCACAAAAAGACTTTAAACACTATGGGAAATTCAATTAAAAATATACTCCGTGGGAATAAAATTACTTTTTGACTTCTCCCTTTTGATTCTCTGGAAAGAAAAATGATTCTGTTAGTTCTTGTCCTAAAAGGAAGATAGCTTAAAGGCACAGAATTCAAATAAAATGCTTGGAAAGCGCGAGTCGGTTGACGGGAAGTAAATAAAATCTTAAATTATTTATAGAAAATCTAATTATAATATTATTTTAACCAATTCAAGACGTCATATCAGTCGAATGGATGATTTTATAAAAGAATTGTAAATAACTCTTGTAGGACGCAAAGATTTGATTTATTGTAGTAACTAATGCCCCGAGTATACTGAATTTATGCAGCGTACACCTCTTCAGCCTGCTGAATAGCCGTGAAGGTGCAACAACAGTTTATGGCTATGAAACAAATGCTTCGTTGAACCAATAGAAATCGCCCTCTTGAGACATAACAAAGCAGTAGGTGGCGATTGTCTATCAGCCGAGCTATTGAAATACTACGGCGAAGAACTAGTAAGACGCAAGAATCAGCTTCTTTACAAAATATGATCGGATGAATGCATACCCGATGATTAGAACCTAAGTGTGTTCCATAAAAAAGAAAGGCGATTCCACAGTCTGCGCCTATTACCATGCCATAAGCCGATATTAAGGGGATATAAGGGCATATAAGGTCCTATTGACTGTTTTTTTGAGACTAAAGCCCTTGTCAGTGTGCCCTTATACCAGATAAATCAATCATTGACCACATATTCACCACGCGCAAAATCTTGGACAAAAACCAACGACGGCACGAAATGTAGCGGCCTCTACCACAGCATGCCTGAGTTTGATATCTCCACCAAAATTTACACAGCTGAGTAAACTGACGTTAAACAACACCGAAAGCCCTTTTAGTATCGGAAAGAACCTCTGCGCGCCGTTCGATACCATACGAGGTTTCAAATAAAGTGGTTCCTTGTCGTGTGACTTCCTTAATTTGTCGCTGCAGAGTCGGCTTTAGGAGTCTTTGAGAGAAAAGTTTTGCGAACGATTTATGGTCCTTTGCAAATTGACAACGGCGAATACCGCAGACGATGGAACGATGAGTTGTACGAGCTATACGATGATATTGACATAGTTCAGCGAATAAAGAGACAGCGGCTACGCCGGCTAGCTCATTTCGGCCGAATGGATGAAAGCGCTCCAACTGTGAAAGTATTCGATGCAGCATCCGCCGGTGGAAGCAGAGGAAGAGGGAGACAGCAACACTCCGTAAAGCAATAAACTTCAAAGTATCATTAGATCCTTAACTCGAGGTAACTGGAACATACTCGAAGGTTTGCATTATTGTATGCTTACATGTTTGCTAGCACCCGGAACGGCTAACGACTTACAAAACCACTCAGAGCACCCCCTCGCTCCCGAAATTTCGAAAAGCCAAAGCGCTCAAATAAATTTCCCTCGTAAATAATGGAATGGTGTTCACGCAACATCTCCAATTCACTCCCTGAAGCACACCCACGAGCTCCACTCAAACAATTCAAAGTGAAAATTATCTCTAACTTTTTAATATGGAGTTCACCCGTGAAGTTCTCCAAGAGCCATTGGGCTCGTTAAATCATTTACGTGCATCATTTATCAGCATCTGCGCCATTTCTAAACATCTTCTCCCGCCTACCTTCCAAAACATGGGCAATCGTACTGGCAGCACTCACTTTGCAAGATTTGATTTTTAATTCTAGCTGCTGGATACTGCTATCCCAGCAAGCTTTTAAATTAAATGGTTTTTGGCTTCAATAAGTATTAAACTTTAACATCGAAATCCCATGGGTTTATTGGTTTTTTTTAACGGTGTACATTACACAATCCAAAAATCGCTTTAATGAACATCTAAAGCCTTTCGCATTCAATAAAGTGTTGAAACATTCGAAAACTTAATTATGTGAAAATGATTTTATTTAATATTTTAATTGATAATTATTAGCGCCAAGTGAAAACAGTTAATTTTATATTCACAATTCTTTACATTGGTCTCAATAAACAAATACACACACATACGCATATATATATTTATATAAAATAGTGTAACTGTGTAAAGCCACAGCAAGTCGAACTCGACTATGTATGTTTGTGTGTGTTTTCATTTGTCCGAGAACTTGCTCTTAGCCGAGCGGAAGGCTATTTGCATTATTTCAACTTATTTGCGCATCACTTCACCCCGCCCGCACCGCTCGGCTCCGCTGCCTTTCATAATTAAGTAAATAACAATTCGAACAAATTAATCGAGTGTAAAATATGGACAAGGAAATTAATTTCGAAATTTACTGCACAATGTTTGGTATTTGCATATGAAAAGTGAATATAAATAATTAAAACTGACATTTTGTGGCGATGAAAGAGTAGCCAACACCAAGCAGGGCTTTCTAAAAGTCACGTCGCACAAAAAGCCAAGTGCCAGTTAATTGGCCAACATCAAAAAGTGTGTGTGGCAAGAATGGGTGTGTGGCCTTTGGTGGGTGGTGAGGGGGTGTTGGGAGACATATGTTGCTCGAAACGAAAACAGAAAATTTGACCAAAGTCCGTTTAATAGTTCTTCGCAGTTCATTTATTATGCATTACATAATTTGTGTTTACATATGTATGAATAATATGTGTGTTTGTGCGTGTGTGTGTGTGTGAGAGTTTTAGTAAACCCTTATCAAAAGAAATTATGTTGTGACGTACGTAAGTATGATGATTTACCACATATGTATATATATCATACGTGCTCATCCAAAAATTCCTTTTTTCTTAAACAAAATTTTTATTTGAAGCAAAATTGAAATTGAGCACGTGGAGCTTTAAGTTTACTTTTGCCTGTTGTTGTTGTGTTGTATCGTTTTACTAATTCCACTTAGGAACAGCCGAGACATTGAGGTCTTCAAACGGGTGGGCTAAGAAACGGGTTGTTTCGAGGGCTCAAACTAGAGGGAATGGGAGATGAGGGGACTAGGTTTTAGGGGTCATAGATAAGAGGTGGTTAATGTCGTGCGAGATCTCATTTCTGGCAGGACATACATTATACGTATTGAATCAAGTTGAAATCTACTCGTATTGGAATTAAGATCTTAATTTTGCCAGTTTTACTAGGCTCTCTCGAAGCAGCTCAAGTTCTTCGTCTGCAGTAGGTGGTGTTTGGACTCCGAGTACCGAAAAAGAGTTCATGAAGGTGTTGAAAGACTCTCAGTGGACGGCATTTAAAGCCTATGTATACGCTGTCCTGTTAAGTGATTCCCTCTCTTGTAGGTTGCTGCGTTTTAATTGATTTATTGACACGAAATACATGGAAGAAAGGGCTTGAAGCCTCACCCGCTGACAGTTTTGAAGTTCCTACATGTGCTTCAAGGTCTGTAAGAAAAATAAGGGGATTTTCCTCTCTCTAAAGCACTCTATGGAATTAATCAGTAACCTCATAATCAATGTTTTAGGTTGAGATCTCCGCCATACTGACGACGAACACATATTATCAGGCGTACAACTTTGCTTCCGCCGTTTTCCGATAGGTGGCTGTACCGGCTGAGGCTGGTTGAAATACATAGAAGATAATGCCTTTAAAGTGAGTGTGGACAGTGCCTAACGAATTGTCATCGCCGTTTCAGTGACAGTTGTTCTTGTTTTCGATATATTCACGCTCGAAAATTTCCGTTTATGCGCCTAATTCTCGGTATTTGTGGGAAGTTTTACTTTTCTGTTACAATTCGAATAAAAATGCAGCTGAAGCGCATCGAATGCTCTCAGAAACTTACGGTGATGCTGCTCTGAGTGAAAGAACATTTCGTGAGTGGTTTCAACTTTATAAAAATGTTGATATCGATGTCGAAGACAAACATGGTGGTGGAAGAGAAAAAACCTTCAAAGATGAAAAACTAGAAGCATTGCTTGATGAAGATTCGTGCCAAACCCAAGAGCAGCTTGCCGAATCGTTGGTAGTGAGTCAGCAAGCCATTTCAAAACGTCTCAAGGCCCTGGGCATGATTCAGAAAGCAGGATACTGGCTGCCTTACGAGTTGAAACCGAGGGACATCGAGTAAAAGTGTACCTAAAAACGCTGAAATGGGAAGTCTTGCACCACCCGCCGTATTCCCCAGATGTCGCCCCTTCTGACTTCCACCTATTCCGTTCGATGGCATACGGCCTGGCAGATCAACATTTTCAATCCTTCGAAGAATTGGAAAAATGGATTGCTTCATGGATAGCGTCAAAAGAGGACTCCTATTTCGAGCCGGGATCCGAGAATTGTCGGAAAGATGGGAGAAAGTTGTCACTAGCGAAGGACAATACTTTGAATGATAAATCTGTAAGCACTTTTTCGCATTAAAGCT